TTCTTTAAAAAATATATTTTTGACATGGGATTAGATGAAATCACCATGCACACACACCATATCTAAATCGTTGCATTCTTTCTCTTTTTTTCCTCTTGCTTTTTGTTGATCTTTTACGTTGTAAAGCTTTTTTTAAAAATAAGCATATCTTTTTAATCTTTTCACTTTCTATTATTCATCTATATTTTTTTGGAAACATATTTTTTTTAAGCTTAAACATGCCTTGAAGAAGTGTTTAATGCAAGATATTCTTCATGATACCTTTCTTATTTTTTAAACAGAAGTCCACTTTTATTTTCTTAAAATAATATGTTTTTGATGTGGGGCTAGTTGAGACCACCACACACACACCCATTTCTTACTCATTGCATTATTTCTTTTTGTTTTCTCTCATGCTTTTTGTTGTTTTTTCACATTTTAAAGCTTTTTTAAATATAAACCCATCTTTTTAATCTTTTCACTTTCTATTCTTTATCTATATTTTTTGTGGAAACATGATGTTTTATTTAGCTTATACATGTGTTGAAAAAGTGTTTAATGTATTAAATTTTTCATGATATCTTTTTCAATTTTCAAACAAAAGTCATCCTTTATTTTCTTTTAAAAAATATATTTTTGATGTGGGACTAGATTAAACCACCATGCAAAACCTCATTTCTAGCGCATTGCATTCTTTCTTTCTCTCTGTTTTTCATGCTTTTTTGTTGATTTATTTACCTTTTAATTCTTTTCAGATTTTAAAGGTTTTTTAAAGTATTAGCACATCTTTTTAATCATTTCACTTCCAATTGGTTATCTATAATTTTTTATTAAACCATGATTTTTTTATTTTGCTTAAAGATGTCTTGAAAAAGTTATGCATTATATTTTTTATGATATTTTTTCAATTTTTTTAAAGAAGTAATCTTCTATTATCCTTAAAAAATATATTTTTAACGTGGGATTAGATGAAACGACCGTGCATACACCATATTTAACTCGTTGCATTCTTTGTCTTTTTGTTCCTTGTGCTTTTTGTTGAATTTTTTACATTGTAAACCCTTTTTTTGTTTCCTATTATTTATCTATATTTTTGTGGAAAGGTGATTCTTTGTTCAGCTTAAACATGTCTTGAAAAGTTGTTTAATCCATTATATTGTTCATGATATCTTTCTCAGTTTTTAAGCTAAAGTCATCTTTTATTTTCTTGAGAAAATATATTTTTAACGTGGGACTAGATGAAACCACATGCACACAGCGCATGTCTAACTCATTGCAGTTTTTTTTTTTTAATTCATGCTTTTTGTTGTTTATTTTTTCACATTTTAAAGCTTTTTTTTAATATAAGCACATCTTTTTAATTTTTTATTTCTATTATTTATCTATATTTATTTGTTGAAACATGATTTTTATTTAGTTTAAACATGTCTTGGAAATGCATTATATTTTTCATGATATCTTTTTCAATTTTTAAACAAAAGTCAACTCTCCTCATGGTTTTTTCTTGGTTGCTACTTTAATTTTAATTTTTTTAATAGAATCACTTTTTTTTTAATTTTTTAATATTTTTTAATCTTAAACATGTCCTGGAAAAGTGTTTTAATACATTAAAAAATATTTAACTCATTGCATTATTTCTTTTTTTCTTTTCCTTGTGCTTTTTATTGATTTGTTTTTTACATTGTAAAGCTTTTTTAAATATAAACATATCTTTTTTTTATTTTGCGCTTCCTATTATTTATCTATATTTTTATGAAACATGATTTTTTTTTATTTAGCTTTAAAATGTCTTGAAGAAGTGTTTAATTCACTATATTTTTCATTATTGTTTTCTTTTATTCTAAAGTTTTTTTTATTAAACTATAAGCACATGTTTTTTTCTTTTATGTCTTTTCACCTCTTGTTATTTATCTATATTTTTGTCTAAACTTGACTTTTATTTTTATATTCAGCTTAAATATATGTTCAAAAAATGGTTATTGCTTTATATTTCTTTTGATACCTTTCTCAATTTTTAAATAATATTGATAGTGATTTATTTTTCCAAAAATATATTTTTGATGTTGGCTTTGATGAATCCACGCCGCACACCTCATAAGTAACTCATTTCATTTTTTTTTCCTTCATGATTTTTCATGATTACTTTCATTTTAAATTTTTTTAAATTTAAGCACCTTTTTTAGTCTTTTCACGTTCTATTATTTATCTATATTTTTTTTGGTTTAAACTTGATTGTTTTATTTAGCTTAAATATGTTTTCAAAAAGTGTTTATTGTTTTATATTTTTCTTGATATCTTTTTTCAATTTTTAAGTTAAAGTCATCTTTTACTTTCTTTATAAAATATATTTTTGACGTGAGATTTGATGAAACAACCACGCATACGTACAATATGTGACTCTCTATAGCCTTTCTCTCTTTTTACTCTTGTTTGTTGATCTTTTCTTTCATTTTAAACTTTTATTTAATATAAAGCGTCTTTTGATCTTTTCACTTCCTTCTTGTCTATATTTTTTTTTGAAACTTGATTTTCTTCTTTAGCTTAAATATATCTTCAAAAATTACTTTTGTGTTTCATTTTTGTTGATATCGTTCTCAATTTTTAAATAAAATTCATTATTTATAAATTATTTTCTTTAAAAATATATATTTCTGATGTGGGACTTGAGTGAACAAGCATGCACAAGCAGCATATATAACTTATTGCATTATTTCTTTCTCTCATGTTTTTTTACATTTTGTAGCTTTTTTTAAAATAGAAGCCCATCTTTTTAATCTTTACACTTCCTATTACTTATTTCTATTTTTTGTCTATATTTCATTTTTTTTTATTTAGCTTAAATATGTCTTTCAAAAGTGCTCAATGCTTTACATTTATCTTGATATCTTTCTCAATTTTTAAATTAAGTTCGTATCTTGTTCCTCTAAAAAATATGCTTTTATATAGGACTTCTTAAAACGGCGATGCACATACACTCTATACAACTTATTGCCTTCTTTCTCTTTTTTTCCTTTTGATTTTTATTGATTTTTTTCTTACATTTGAAATCCTTTTTTAAATATAAACTCATCTTTTTAATCTATCTATATTTGTTGTGGAAACATGGTTTTATATTTAATGTGAACATGTCTTGAAAAAGTGTTTAATGCATTATAATTTTCATAATATCTTTCTCACTTGTTAAAAAGTCATTTTTTATTTCCCTTAAAAAAATATTTTTGATGTTGGACTTGATGAAACTACCATGGACACATACCATATCCAACTCATCCTCCTTTTTTTTTTTCATTGTGCGTTTTTTTTTAACTTTGTAAAGCTTTTTTAAATATGAGCACATTTTAATATTTTCACTTCCTATTATTTATCTATTTTTTTTTTTGAAACATGATTTTTTTAAACTTAAACATGTTTTGAAGAAGTGTTCAATGCATCATATTTTACATGATAATTTTATCAATTTTTAAACAAAAGTTCTCTTTTATTTTCTTTAAAAAAAATGTTTGACGTGGCAGTAGATGACACCTACATGCACACACATCATATCTAATTCATTGCTATCTTTCTGTTTTTTTTTTCCTCGTGTATGTTGTTGTATTTTTTTTTTGACATTGTAAAGCTTTTTTTAAATATAAGCACATTGTGAAAGCATGATATATATTTTTTATCTTAAACACGTCTTGATAAAGTGTTTAATGCATTAAATTTTTTTTATCTAAGTTTTTAATCAATAGTCATATTTTATTTTCTTTGAAAAATATATTTTTGACGTGGGACTAAATATAACTGATTCTATGTTCTAAAAGTAATAATTCATGGTTATTAAATACATGGGTTACATTGCATATAAAACAGCATAAGCATAATCCAGTAATAACTGACACATATTGAGGGGCATAAATTCTGAAAATGAATCGAACGAAACTATTTTTCAATGTCTTCAATTAATTGGCGAAATGACAGCGCATGCTAGAATTTGCTAATTATTTTGCTTTGGAATTTGCTACCGTTGTATATCTAAATCTATGTTTTCTGTGACCTGCTGGCTAGTTTTAGAATAATATGAGTATGAATTTTTATGTCTTTAGATTTGTGAGTTCAATGACGCTATAGATTTCAACGAAGCACAAATCATTTCTACTTTTTTATGGTGTTAGCTACAAGTAATGGATTGGTTTCTCTGCTTTTTTTTTTTTCCTAGATTGGATAGATTTTGGATTTGATAGTCTTGTCTTGAGCATGTCAATTTAATATCTAGAGGATTTATGACTTTGCCAAAACAAACTAGATGATTTGAGTGATTTTTTATATTTTTGTTTGAATTATTTTTTCACCACAAAAGTTTATTTGAACCTTTGGATCTTATGATCTATGTTCTGATTTGTCCTTTGGCATTTTTGACGGGGTGGTGAGCTTTATTCTTTTAGCAATATGGCTTAACTGTTCCATTTGCAAGATATGTAGCCATTGGAGATAATGAGGTAAAGATTTGTTTTCTTAAAGTGTTTGCTTTCCTTAAGTTTAATAACTTGATGTCGCTGTCTACTATTTCTTGTTAGCTTTTCTGAAATGTGATGTGATTTTGAGGAGTCATGATAGAAGGGTACATTCCTAATTTCCTATCATATGTTGCCAGGCTTAAATGCATTTCTGCATTTTTACCCTCCACTAATCCTTAGCTTATTCCAGTCCGTTACCTTATTTCCTTTGAATTGAACCTTCCATAAAGAAGTCCCCATAACTTATTTGAATCCAACATTCCGATCTTGGTGGGGCTAAATTTTGTTGCTATCAGCTTTGATCCTTAATTTACTATTTTGATGGAAATTTTTATGCCGTCTAAAAATAAAAAAGAATCTCTTAAAGCATTGAAATAAAACAATTTTCAGATCTTTTGGATTGCCTGTTGCTAGAAATACGAACTTATGATAGTACAGTTTGGAAGCCATGTTTTAGTCTTGTTGCATTTTGGCTCGGTAATTTTAGGAAAAACGACTATTGACTCTGCATTTGAAATGTTTCAGGAAGAAGCAATCTATGATTGATGTGACTTCTGAGTTTTTTGCTGAGGTAACTAATAGTAACATTCTTTTTATTCTGTTTTGAGTGGTTGAATACATATCTCTTGCATGCATTGGCAATAGTTAGGTGCACAACCTTTTTCATGTATATATTATTGGTATAATATGATTTTTTTGGCGGGTTGGTTTGAACATTTGAGTGTATGCATCTGAATCATATATTTTAGGTTGGCTAGACAAACTTGATTCTAAAGGGACTCTATCTTTGTTGAGGTTTATTCATGGTTTTTAACCTTTTCAACTCTCATTTTATTTTTCTTTAGGATATTTATTTTTATTAAATATAAGTAGAAATTTTATTTTTAGTATTTGGGACATTTTTTAGTATAAGTTCTATGTTATTGTTGAGTTTTGGAGTTCATCTCCAATTTAAAAAAAAATGCCCCATTTTTTTAGAAGAGTCACCCAATATTGGACAAGTTTTACTACAGCTGTCCAATGTGTTTTCAAATATTGGACGTTTTTTTTGAGTGTCCAATATTTTTTCACGAATATATGAAAGCCTCATATTGGATAAAAAGTTTGTAACTGTCCAATGTACCTTTTTTTGTAGTAGTGTCATGAGCATTGAATGTGGTTGTTTTTGACAGAAAATTAACCTAGATAGGACAACTAGAGGCCTTTCTTAGAGGTGCAATAAAGAGAGGGGGAGGATGTACAAATATTGAGAAGGAGGGATTCGTTTTGAGGTGTTCTTTCTCCAGTGACTCACCGCTATTTATTTATAGTGTGGTAGGCCGCTATGAAAAGGGAAAATCTAATCATCACAATTCACCTGATAATGGAGGGAATTGATGTGATGGACAATTCCACAATAAATATAGGGCAAGGTTTCTTTTTTTAAGATTCAATCAGGAATCAATCCACCACTAATTCTTGATGTATAGTCAATTCTTATTAAGTCAGAATATGTCAAGTATCTATTCATTAATTTGACATCATTATCAGCTTCCCATTAAGGTCGAATCTGTGATTTCCAAAATCTCCTACTTGCACTAGATGGGACTACTATCATACAATTCCCTTCTCTCTTACTTCATACTTAGTACTCTGTCGTGGTTGGTAGGCAAGCCGTCCTCGATTCAGATGTTTTGAGTACTAGAAACCCTATAACAAGATCAGCAAACGAAGGCATCCATTTGTATACCTCCTTTGCTGTTATGAATTGCCTTAAGCACTCTAGATTTACCCGCACACAACCCATGACATGTCTAATTCCCCTTGAGCTAATTATCTCTAGCTCATACTTCCATCTTATATGCTCAGCACCAATACTTACAAGTTTTTCTCATAACTTGTAAGGGACATGTCTCAAAAACTAACACAATTGTGTGTTTCAAGCTTAATCTTCCTTTAAATTGGATATCAATGAAGTCTAATTTAGTCTCTTTCCTAGTAATCGAACTGTTGGATTGAATCATTCATGATCATAAGGTACACGCTAAAGTAGCTGTCATGAAACCAGCCTCTTATGACATGTTGTCAAAGTCCTAAGGGTACTGTGATAGGATTTTCTTTATTATAAGACTCACATAATGATGGAACATGGATCCTTCCATCCATTTCCATTATTGCAATCATACAAGTGCACACGGTATGAATTGCATGCTACGATGTTTCTTTCTCAAGAGTATATGTTGATTTTTGTTTATTAACATCATTCAAGCTTCAATCTTAAATGCATATAGTATTTAAACCACAATTTCATGAACCATTCAAACCACAATTTCATGAACCATTCAATTCATGATGTCCTTACTTAGGTATAGGGTAAATATGCAAATTTGGCCATCAACTATTTTTCCAGGAGCATTAGATAGCCTATCTTATGAGGTGATGCAAAATAAATTCTTAACTTTTAAAAAATGGAGCATCTAGTGCCCACCATTAATTTTACTCAACGGACATTAGATAGGGCGCATAAAAGTTGATTAAAAATGACACAATGCACTCCACCTCAACATGGGTAAAGGTATAAATTTAGCCATGAACTATTTTTCAAAGAGCATTGGGTAGCCTCTACCATCAATTAGTACAAAGAAAATTATCAAACATGAAAAACAAACCATGCATAACGTCCTCGTCAATTTTGTGACCAAATGTCATTTATTTTCAAACTTATGGGACATAACGCATCAAACTCTCAAGCTTAATTTAGCCATGATAGAAAATGAAGCGATTGAATCAAACTTCTCCCTTGCATAGTGGCAATGCAATTCAAACTGCTACTTTGCTTGAATTACTATAGAGATTTAAATAAAATTTTCTCTTCCTCTTTTTCTTCTACATCATTAGCATCATTCTCAGGAATGCCTTTAGATAAGAACTTTTTGAACCTTTTCTTCTAAAGCTGAGATTGAGAATGATAGTAAGAAGATTGGAGAGATTGACATATTGTGGGTCCCATAAGTTTGAAAATAAACAGCATTATGGTTAACACTGATGAGAAGGTGTTGGATGGTTCGTTTTTTAGAATAGAGACTACCCAGTGCTTCTCGAAAAATAGTTCATGGCTAGATTTGCACCTTTATTTATTAAGGTGGAGCGCCACATGTCATTTTCGTTAAAAAATTTTAGGCCCCACATGGGAAGTTAATGTCCGTTAAATCAAATTTAACAAAGGCTGTTAAATGCTCTATTTTTTAAAGTTGAGAATTTATTTTGCAGCACCTTATATAGTTGAGAGCCAAATTTGCTACTTTACTCGTTGGGTATATTATCATTGGTGGAAATCCATATGTAAATTAATGTTATTCCTTGAATGAGTTTTGTGAATGTAATTATGCAAGTTGAGCATGATGATGTGATACGGCTATGGTGAAGATGATTAAGATATGAAATGTGATAAAATGCCTTGAGCTTGATAATATGATTTGCGTGCTTTATGTGTAGAAGCATGTGTATCTTGCATAATCATATTTGACAGGAGTTTGCTCTTTGTAGAGTAGACATAAATCCAAGTGGCATAGTTACTTTTCATTAATCGAAGGCTTGCCTTCATCCTATTATTTGTTAAAAGATTGTTTCATTATTTGTCGAGGGACTTAAATCTAGCTTGTCTCTACTCATTCTTCAAGGAGACTAGTTTAAGGTTAACAACACTCCAAGCATTTGAGAATGGGGGAATCGTGGCTTGGGAGTAAGTGTAGCAACTTTTGGTCAGGTAACTCTTAACGATTGGTGAGCTTCAGATAGTCTATTTACAGGCACACAGCCCTATTTGAATTCATAGCTAACGATTTCAGTTGGAGGTATTAGGTGATGATAAGGGAGGCTATTAATCATGCATTACATTAATATCTGTCACATAGTTGTTAAGTTTGTGCTTGGAATGTTTTGCACATCATCAATTTGTAAATATGTGATTGGTTCTAGCTATGTGCTTTGAACCTTTGCAACTAATGACACACACACACATATTTATTTGTCCGCATGCATTATCTATAACTAATTAGTTTGCATATGCATTTATTAGAGTATTTTGGTTATTGAGTAATTATATTCACACCTCTTCTTAACATTTTACAGGCACCGGCCTTGGGTAAAATAAAAGGAAAGGCATTATAGGCTTAGAAATACGGTTTCCTATTGTAGGCCTATTTTGTTTTTAGTACTTGCACCATTTGCATGATATGAAAATTGGTTGTATTTTGGGCCCTAAGTTATATGTGATGTGATTGAGTTATTTATTCATGGCCAAAATACTGGTACCTAACAAAATCTACAACAGTAGCATAGTCATCAGTCCTGGTGGTCATCAGTCCTGGTGGCTTTAGCTTTTATCCACTTAGAAACATAATCAACAGTTGGTAAAATGTTAGCAAATTCAAATGAAATGAGAATAGGTCCTATGAAATTAATACCTCAAACATCAAATAACTCAGAAAAGTAAACATTGTTGAGATCTCTCATTTCTGTGAGAGATTTCCTATATGCTGACACTTAACACAATACTTACAAAATGCATTTGCATGATGGAATAGAGTAGGCCAATACAACCCCATGATAGTAATCGCATGGATGATTGTATATGTATAATGTTTGATTAGCTCTCCCTATTATTTTTGGAATCAAAAGGTTAAGAGTTGAAAATGTGATATATGTGCTATTAGCATGCTGTAATTCCTCCCCATTAATTTTAGCTTGGAAAGTTGGGATTGAGGTTGGATATGTGATATATTATGCTTTGCATGGTTATGGTAAGTCTATTGGGTGTGGTTTAATGATTGTGGTAGACTAATGGCATTTAGTTTATGGGTTTGGACACCTTAAAAGAGTTGAAGAGTGAATATGTGATTTTGATTTCGAGTGTCCAATTTTATGATATGATAATATTTGAAAATAAAATTAGTATCATTAGTTAGTTCACTAAATGAGCTTTCTGTGAACATTTAGATCACCTCAATTGAGTATCGGATGAAGATTTAGGGCGTGTTGTAAGTACAACCCCCAAAATATGGTGTCTAAGTTTCTACGCAATGTGACGTGGTGAATGGTGCCTTAGTTACAATGCATGCGTACTTCACTATGGCAGAAGGCATCTGCATGTTAGATGCATTGTTAGCCACATGTCAGTTTTCATAACATTGACTTTCTACCCTTATTCTCAAATATTTTCAAATTGTGTTGGCATCGCCAGCTTCCTAATACTTACAAACTCTGATAAATTATTTTTGACCAATTGTTTAGCTTTTAAAAATGTGTTTCTATATTTTTGATCCCAAATTTGTAATGGTTATGTTTTAAAAGTATTACTAGTAAATTTTTCCTTTATAACATAACTAAAACAAATAGTTCGTCTCTTTTATATTATAGTAGGATTTATTATATTGGCTTAAAGCTATTCTACCATGGTAGAATAGTAGGTGATTATATTATGATTTTGATGTTAGGATCTAAATTTTATTAACCATAGTAAATATTTAAATTAAGCTTTTTTCTGTTCTACTTTGATTAGTCCTATTAACTACATTTAAGTCCCCTCTACTGTGTTGCTCAAAAAAAAAAAAAAAAGTCCCGTCTACTATGATAAGGTGATAGGGATTGGTTATCATTTAATTACTGGTTATCATTTAATTATTGTGGTAGAGTACCGTGATTATGGTCAAGTATATGGGTTGAGTAGATGATATTAAATCTAATACTTGAATTATTAATTTTTTAGTTTTTCCTTTTGCAAACAAATATTTTTTACTTTAAAATTAATTATTTTATATTATAAAAAATATCAAATATTTAAAAATGTAGAAGACTCAATTTTTTTAAAAAATTTGAGGATCTTAAAGTTTAGATATCAAGAATAAAATGCATTTTAAACATTATTTTGAAATATTTTATGGATTAAAAATAATAAAAATAACAATGCAAACATTTTAATTTTTTAAGAAAATATTTATAATAATACTCTCTCCGTTTAAAAATGTAAGATATTTTTAATTAAATTTCATCCCTTAATAAAATAATTACCTACTTTTAAATTAATTCTATTTTTTTATATTTATTTTTATTAAATATCCTATAATAAATATAAAATCATTCATCAATAGAAGTACTTTTGAAAAAAAAAAGATAATGATTACACCTTGAAAGATTAAAAATGCTTTGCATTTTTTAACATCCAACTCTTTAAAAAATACTTTATATTTTTAAATAAAGGAAATATACTCAAATATATAATATCTCAGTATAAAAGTATAAAAGGATATAAAATTTAAAGAATTAATTAATATTCAATATATTTTATAAAAATATCTTTTTTTTAGGTATTTGGGTCAAGCACAAACTCAATAGAGTATGGCCTAATTTTTCTAGTCCTATCAGATTATCATCATTAAAAAATTATTTTGCTAATCTCAATCTTATATTTTTCTTTATTTGATTTATTAGAGTTGACCTGTCAAACTTCACTCAAAATATAGACTCTAAATTTTCATATATGATATATTTGAAAAAAAAAAATGTATAAAACCAATGAGATTCACCAAGCAAGACTTCTAGAAAACTTTTTAATCCTGTGATCTTTTTATTTTCCAACCAAGCTCTTGAACGAATTTGCTACACCACTTCACGTATCAGCTGATTCTTCTTATTACCTCTTGATTTGGTTCTTTTTGTTCTTTTGGTTTGGGTTTGAATATTTGGTTTTTGTTATAAAGCTATATTGCACATATACTGAACATGTATTGGATATGATACATATTCAATACATCAACACTTTTATTTTTAAAAATATAGAGTGCGATATGTCCCTTATATATACAAATATATTTATAAAAAAATCATAAAAATATTAAAACTATAGTTTAAATTTAAAAAATATCCAACCTAGCATACATATATAGTTTTTTATAGTAATACCAAACAAAACATAACCATTAATTATACTTTTATTCTATCTCTACCTACTTGCCTACCACCTAATCTTTGTTAATAATTCCCTACTTAGGGTTTATATGTCAAAAGATTATATTCCTATGTTTTTATAATTAAAAGTATAATTTTTATTCTTTTATTATATATAAAGCGTACTTTTTTTAAGGAAAATTTAATTTTTGAATTTAAAAGCAAATCACATAAATATATTAGGAAAAAGAAAAATTAATATCTCAATATTTAATAACATTGTTCTTTTTAAAATAGCCTTGAATCATTGGTTTTAAAGTATTAACTCAATTTAAATTATCGGATACTATTAAAAATTAAAATTCTTTTGAATTAAAAAATCATATTTCAAGTATCGGTGAGTATCGTAATGGACACGATACCGATACAAATATGTGAGGCAATAGTCTATGATATATGGATATTGATATGTGTATAGGATATGATAGGTATCTGATGTTTGATGCTTTTATTTTTAAGAATATAGGATACATTTTCGATATGTACATATATTTTTATAAAAAACACTAAAGTTCTAATTTTAATTTAAAAAATATTCAAAATAGCATACATATATAGTCCTATAAAATAATACTAAGTAAAATATAATCATTACTTGTACTTTTATTCTATCAGTATCTAATTGCCTATGGCCTAGTCTTTGTTACTAGTTTCTCAGCTAGGATTTAAATGCTAAAAAATTATATTCCTATACTTTTATATTCAAAAACATAATTTTTATTTTTTATTATATCTAAAACTTATTTTTTAAAAAAACCTAATCTTTGATTTTAAAAGAAAAACATAAAAATATTTTAGGAATTTAACAAAATTTAATTTTTTTTAATAATAGCCTTGAAGTATTGACTTAAAGTACCAACTCACAATATCTAAAATAAAAGAAATCAAATTAAAAAATAATATTTTGATACTCTATAGATACATATCGAAGAAGTACTGATGAGTATCGATATGAATACGTGAGATAATTTGAAGTATCGGTTCTTTATATTCTCCCTTGGATGTCCATAACAAACATTGTGTTTCATTAAAACCTTACTAGAAAAAACTCAATGAGAAAAAAACCTAGTGAAATAAAAAGGGTACACAATATTTTTAAACCCTTTTCTAGAAAAACCCAATGAGACAAATCCTTGTAAAGGAAAAAAGTGTATAACGTGATATTTATTCCCCATAGCCTTCCCCTTGTAATAATATCACTTTACTCCCCCTGATAACACAATCACTTTTTGTCTCTGAATCTACACATTTCAATACCATAGACTAACTTCTCAAATATTGAAATTGGTTGTATTTTAGTAAACAAATCTACAAGATTGTCACATGAGCAAATTTACTAAACATCTATATCACTACTCTTTAAAAGGTCACGAGTGAAAAGGATTTTGGAGAAATATGTTTTGCTTTATCTTTTTTGATGTATCATCCTTTTAATTGAGCTATACATGTTGTATTATCTTCATATAATATTGTTCGAATCTTTTTTCCCAACAATAAATTACACATATTTCGGATATGATGGATCACTGGCTTTAACTAAATACATTCTTTACTTTTCTTGTAAATTGTAATTATTTCTGCATAATTTGACGAGGTAGTAGCTAAAGTTTGTTTTATTGAATGCTCAGATATTGTTATACCCCTACAAATAAACAAATATGAAATTTGTGATTTTCCTTTATGTGGATCTGATTGAAATCTTACATCTGCATAACTAATAAGTTGTTATTCAAATTCATTAGAATAAAATAATTACATATTAATTATCCTTTGAAAATATCAAAATAAATGTTTAACTCTATTCCAATGCTTTTTTTGTTAGGGAAGAACTAAATCTTACTAATAAATTTACAACAAATGCAATATCAAGTCTAGTTGAATTATTAAGATACATTAGTACACCTATAACACTAAAATATGGTATTTTAGGACTAAAAGTTCTCCATCTTTCTATTGAGGACAAAATGATCTTTTTTCTTATCAAGAGATCTTATAACTATCGAAGTAGTTAATGGATGCACTTTGTCGATATAAAATTACTTCAATATTTTTTCAATGTAAGTTAGGTGATAAAAAAAAATTTCATTTGCTAAATGCTCGATTTGTAAATTGAGATAAAATTTTATTCTTTCAAGATTTTTTTTTATTTCAAATTCTTTCTTGAAGCAATTAATTTCCTTTTAGAGCTCTTCAAGAGTTCCAATTACATTCAAATAATCCACATAGGTAGCAATTATGACAAACTTAGATATATTTCTCTTTATAAAAACACATGAAGATATTAGATAGTTTTTATAACTTTCCGTCAGCGAATATTCACTAAGACAGTTATGATACATTCTTTCATATTGTTTCAATTCATACAAAGATTTATGCAAACGAATTACATATTCTTTTTGAGAATCTTTACATGCTTCTAACAATTTAAATCCTTTGAGGATATTTATATAAATTTCTGTGTAAAGAGCCACATAAATAGGCTATAAAAACATCCATTAAGAGTATATCAAGTTTTCTGTGTACTCCCAAACTAATTGTATGATAACCCAAAAATTTTAAGTAAAACTAAATATATAAGTTTGTATTTTAATAATAATTATATTAGTTTTTGGAATTATTATGACAAGAAGTAAAGTTGTCGTAGTGGCAACAGAGCAAACATCTTCCCATTTGGTTCTAAGTTCGAACCGGAACAGGGCCGTAAGTGGTCTTATTTTTCTGTCTTTTTATTATGTGAAATTACAGAATTACCCTCCTTCAAATCAGATAAAAATCTTCACTCCTTCGATTTTTCCAGACGCAGCAGAGAGAGAGAGAGTGTGTGTGATGGATGCTCTGAGATTTCATTCCTTCTTCCTCCTTCGAACCTTCGCAGTTTTTCCTTCTGTTTTCATCGTTGCTGTCGCTAGCGTGAGTAACCACCCTTGCTTCAATCGTCCGAAGTTGACAAGTCCTTAAGTTTGTCTGTTGCTGCTGCGCGTCTGCAAGATCTCTTCGTTCTTCCCGTTTCCAGCTCATATCTACTGTGATTTGTTGAGCTGCTACTCTTCTATTACCGTTGTTGGAGGCTTGGTTGATCAGAAATTTTAGTTTTGCTCCCCCGTTCGTCCGTGCGTCACTGTAGATGTTGCTGTAAGTGTCTGGAAATCTTTATCTTCCTCTACTGGTGCGTGTAGGAATTTTCAGGTTAGAAACTTGATCTTATCTCCTTCCTCGGAAACATTTTTGTGCGTGTGAATGGATAAAGAGATGGGGCTGATTGAAAAAAAAAAAAATTATGTCCTGTAGGTGCTGCTGTTGATACACGAATTTTCTTCCATAGTTTCGATTAGCTTTCTTCTACTTGTTTTCTTTATGGTTGCTGATTCATGTCTGAAATTTTATACCCTTCATCTTGCTAATTTTCTGTGCGAGCATTTTAATGGTTGAAGCTATAGAATTTTAGTGTGTTTGGCTGCTGCTCGTGTGTCTTAGAGAATAACAAATTCAAATGTTGAGCTGAAAATCCATCTTAAAGCTTGATACTGATCTTCATATGTTCATAATTTTTGGAATAAATTAATTTGGGTGGAATGATTGATGTTGAAGAATTGGGTAAAATGAAGTTGGAAGAGAAGAGGTTAGATATGATAATGGAAGATTAGTGTTTATAAGATGCTTATTAAAATGCTTATTAGAAGAATTGAATTTGACTTTAACATTTCATAAATTCTTGTGGGAAGTAGGGTTAGCTTAGAAGTTATTAATCTATAAATTTAACTTGAAAGGTGCAAAGGACATTTGATTATGAAATTAATAGTGTATGATTATTAGAATTGTCGGAGACTGATACTTTGTTGAGAAAATACTTAAGCGCTAGAGTTCTTATGAGGAGATTGGAAAGGATACATATTCGGTGTCTTGACAAAATGTTGACGAGAAATATATTTTTATATATAACTTTGGTTTAAATTTTCAAATTTATTATAGTTGATTAGTGCTGAAAATGTTAAAAAGAAATTATTGTATTGGTTAAGGGTTGAATAGAATTTTAATATGATTTATAGGATATTTGGAGGAGGAGAAATTTGATCAACAGTGAGAGGTGAATTTTAATTTTGGGAATTTTAGGTAAGTGAATACCGTCCCAACTGATTTTTTTTTATTCAAAATTTCCTTTACTAGAATATTATATTTTTCTGGAAATCATTTTAATAGCATTGATGCAATTATTAAATATTTGTTGATTAACATTACTTTATTTTGAGAAATGAGTTTTATTAAACTTGAAATGTTATTTGATCAACGAAGTCAAGTTTGAACTTTGATTATGAGATTTTTTTTATCAATATTGGATTGATACAGAGAATGATTCATGCGAGTTTGAAGTTGAAATTTTTTTTTATTCAGTAAATGCAACGCATGAGCATTGGATATGAAATTTTATACTGGCAAGTTTTAATGCTTAAAAGTATTCATGTGAGTTTGATTTTGAGAATGAGAACTGTATCTTGAAAGTGATGATTTTCTCGCATGTTTGAAAATGGTTTTAAAAAGGGACTTTGTACAGAACACTGATTGCTAACGGCAGTTCCGTTAGCCCTTGGCGCGCCATGGTACACCTAGCTAGCAGGGTGTTTATGGGAGGTGCTAGCTCCGTGCGATGGCCAACGCACGTGGAACGGAGGGATGGTTATTCGTGAGCATGGTACTCACGTTTGTTTCGTGGCTCTGGCCGCGTTTGGTTTGTATTACCCTCGTGGACTGTGTGTCCACGTTTGTTTCCGTGGCATAAGCCACGTTTGGGTATTTACCCTCGTGGATTATGTGTCCACGTTTGATAATTGTTCTGATAAGCCCCTGTAATTATAATCTGATTATTTGGTGATTTTATATTCTATTGGTTCTCATTTAGCAACTTATTTATAAGTATTTATTTCATTTACATGCTTTCTTGAAATCAAGTGATAATAACAATTTTTATGATAGTTCAATGATTTACGATTTTATTTAATTTTTATAGAGCCATTTCATTTCAAAGCTTATGGAATTTTTATGTAAGAAGTTGCCTCTTTGGTTACATAATTATTTTGAACTTTTTGCTTATTTATGATCAATTATTTATTGTTGGGACGATATTCACTGGAAAAATTTATTTGGGTCTCAGATTTGTTAACTGACGCCGATTCCACCATTGACTCTGAAGGGCAAACTAGCTACAGCGGGTGGAAATTTTTGATTGGTACTGTTACTTTTAATGTAAATATATAATTTGTATGTCTTTTTGATTTTTTTTTAAAAAGAGTAGATGCTCCACATAGATTGTTGTTAGGATTTTATTTTGATTTATATAGTGTTGCTGGCTGGAAGGAGCTAAGCTCCTGATTGATGCTGTTTTCTAAAATAAAAAAATAAAAAAATTTGTTATAGAACTTTTGGGAGATCGTATTTACAGGGAAGGTTCTGTCGAAATTTCAAAAAAAGAAATGTTAAAGTCTTATTATGACAATTAATAGTAGCATTAGAATTTTTATACAATCTGGTTATTTTTAAAATGAAAGAAATTTTTATTTTAAGGCTTACGGGAATGCATGATATAGTACGCACCCGTGCCAGTCATTCTTTATTTTCGAGGTGTGACAAATTAGATATTTTAAAATAATTGTATCAACTATCAACCATAGGAAAATATGTCTCTTCATAATTAATACTAAGTTTTTGAGAAAATTCTCAACTTATTAATCATGCTTTATATCTAACGATTTCATTTTTCCATTTTGTTTTTGCACAAATACACATTTATATCCCATTGGCTCTACACTATTATGTATTCACACCATTGACCCAAAAACTTCACATTTTGAAAGTGAATTTAACCTTGCTTTGAATTGCATCTTTCCATTTTGGCCAATCATTTATGTGTATACATTGTTCAACCAATTTCAGTTCTAGATTTTCATTTTGATTCATTATTTTTACAGCAACATTATATGAAAATATGTCATCGATAACTATATTTTTTTGATTCCATCTTTTTCCATAGTGACATAACTTATTGCAATCTCTTCATTATCTTCAGGTAGTTGGACCACTTTTAGGTTCTTCTAGTTAGTTATGTCTTCGTACTCTGTTAGAGTACCAACCTCCTTAACTATGTCATCTATGCTATCTTTATTTTGTGCTCCTTTCTTCTTTCTAGGATTTTTATCTTTGAAATCAATTAATCTACCACACTTCTTTCTAATTGTCCTACTGGGATATCAATTATAATAGGAATATTTTTAGTTAGAATATGAGACTTGGTAATTCTTTTAAAGTTAGTAAATGCATGTGGCAATTGATTTGCAATATTTTGTAAATGAATTTTTTTTAACTTCAAGTTCACATTGTTTTGTATGAGAATCTAGACGAGATAATATTAACATTCCATGTAATTTCTTTATCCTGCTGCTTATTTTCTCTTCCTAATATTGGAAAAATTGTTTCATCAAAATGGAAATCATTAAAACATGCTGTGAATAAATCTTTAGTTAATGATTATACATACTTGATTATAGAGGGAGATTCAAAACTAATATATATTCCCAACTTTCATTGAGATCTAATTTTTGTGAGTTGTGGTGCAACAATAGGAACAAACACCGTACATTCAAAAATTCTAAGATGATAAATATTTAGCTCCTGACTAAAAGCTAATTGTAATAAAGAAAATTTATTGTAAGTTGTTGCATGTAAAATCACATATCCCCATGCTAGAATAGGTAGTTTTGTTCTCAAGAGCATTGGTTTAACTATCAACTGGAGGTGTTTAATGAGTGATTCTACTAGACTATTTTGAGTGTGGACATAAGCAATATATTTTTCAATTGTTATTTCAGTTGATATGTAATAATTATAAAAAATTTGCAACAAAAAATTCACTTATATTATTAAGACGAATTGTCTTAATTGTATAATTTGAAAATTGTGCTCTAATCCTTACTTGAAATTCTTCTAAAAATCTATATATGATAAAGCCAATGACTTGTGGTGGGTAGCAACTGTAAGCTCATCGTAATTCTTTAAGGGAGAATTTCAAATAGGATCAGGGATGTAACATTATTACTAGTGGATCTCAAAATTTTGAAATTTCAGTTCAATTCAGGGGAATAAAAATGAAAATAATTTCACACATAAAAATATTAAAATACCCTTAACTTGTTATGCAAATTACTAGCTGTTAATTTTCTTATTTCACTTATTAATTTATCAATAGTACTTGTAAATTATTTATATCTCTTAGACAAGTAAAAATATTAGTTGTTAATTGTTAATTTATTAATATCAATTATAAATTACGAGACCTGTCAGTAATTTATAACTGATATTAGTAAATTATAAGACTTATTAATAATTTATAACTGATGTTAGTAAATCAATAAGTAAAGTTAACAATTTAACAACTAATGTTACTGCTTATATCTAAACAATTGATGTCAAGTCTTATATAATTATTAACTTGTCAATTCATGTAATTTGTAACTCATATTAGTAAATTAATAAACAAAGTAAGAAAATTAATAACTAGCGATTTTACGTAACAAGTGAATGGTATTTTGATCTTTTTACATTTAAAATTATTTTCATTTTTATCTCCAGGACTGAACTAAAATTTTAAATTTTTTTAGAGCCCACTAGTAATTATATCACATTCCTAGTCCTTATTTGAAATTCTCTCATTCTTTAAACTAAACTCATTTGTAGTGGCTAAGTTCCTAACAAATAATCCCCATCGCATCATGCTTTTCTTTTTTTTTTTTTATGGGGCCAAAATCTTGTACATGATAATATCATAATAGAAGTTGAGAGTCATCCTCATCCAGTCCAATATTAATAGTATTTTTTTGTTGTAAAAATTTCATTTAAGATCCATTAATCACGCTTAGCAAAAAAAAAGACTCCTTAAACTTTGAAAATTTATTTCGAGCCAAGGGTACTAAAGTGACATTAAAATACAGAGTAAAATTAGCTCATTATCCCTTATTCCCTTCGAGTTTCTACTGAAGTTATTCATTTCCCTACATGAAATTGTTCGATAATGACAAAAACAACTTTAATGAACAACTTAATAAAAGAAAATGTACAATTCATTTTACCATTATTACAACATTTGAAATTTGAAATAAAATTAAGGTTCAACAATATCACAAACAACTCATGTGGGTCAACGAACAATTTCATACAGGTCAATGAACAACTTTATATAAAAAAAATGAAAAACTCCTTTTATCATGATTAAAGCACTTAGAATAAAATCAAGATTTAGTGACAGAAAAAATAATTTTTATAGGTCAATGCATAATTTTAATAAAGAATTGAAGGGGATGAGGAACAATGAGGTAATTTTATTTTTCATTTTCATTTCACTTCGCCACCCTTATTATAAAGTAAACTTTTAGAGTTTAAGGGGCTTTGCTTTTCATAAATGTAGTGTTGCACATGAAATTTTCCTTTTATTTTTTCACACGCATATATATATTCTCTCTCTCAAACATTAACTACTATACTAGGTTGAAAGATTGTGGAATAAAATATATCATTTATATTTTTAGCGTGTATTGATATAAAAGATTCTAAAATAAAATAATTTATTTTTTAATACTTTAATTTGTATATGAAAATAAATTTTAGAATAAAATATGCCATAGAGGAAAAAAAATTATAGAATAGAAAAGGTTATTATCAAGATTTTTTCCAACTTAGTGTATGATGTGACTGGCTTTTGCCTTTTTTTTTTTTTTTACCCGCATGGATTCCACTTTCCACTAAAAAAACATATGATTTTAAATTTTTTTCTGTTTATGTACTTTTAAAATTATTTTTGAATTTTTAAATAAATTCTAAAACTCATAGTATTGGGAGAATAAAATATTTTATTTATATTTTTATTGCATTATTCAAATTTTTAATAAACAAAGGAGTAACAAATTATAAATTTAAGTATTTTTGTTTATATAATTTTAAAATTATTTGTTACTATTTTACTAGTGCAAAATTAATCACGGTGTACGTGTTAATACATTTTGTAATAAAATATATTGTTTAAATTTTTTATATATGTTAATGAATTATTAAATAATTTTGTGTAGATATTATCTAGACTATGCTTGAATTAAAAATTACACACCATGAAAGATTATGGAATACAAACGATAAGTTTTTAAATTTTAAATTATGTGGGTATATAATAAAAACAAATAACAATCAAGGAATTCGATAGATCACAAAATCAAAATCAATATCAGATGAAAAAAAAAATCAACCAAAATCAAAATGCAATCAGAAACAAAGAAAAAAGTAACTGATAATAGATTTTAAAATTAAAATCAATACCAAGTATTTTTAAAAATAAAAATAAAAAGTGAATTAAAAAAAGAAGTGCAGAAACTCAAACCAGAATCAGGTGAGAAAAATAGATCAATCAAAATAAAAACAAATAAAACATGGAATAAGTAATAGATTTCAAAAATAAACCAACACTAATTATTTTTATAAAAATAAAAATAAAATATAAATTATGTTATATTGTAATATTGTAATATTAATTATTAATATTATTGTAATGTAGGTACAAAATAAATAATAAATGTATACAACGGTAAAATTACATGTCTATGTTCTCTACCCCAATAAATGATGATTGAAGTTTGAAAAATATCTTGATTAAGCAACAGTTAACAATCAATACATAAATTAATGAAGAAACTGTTTTTCTTCCCAACGTTCAAGTCCGTTTACTGCATCTCTCAACTTTCTTCCGTAATTAATGACGCACGAAAAATATCTTGATCAAGCAACAGGAGCTAACAACAAATAAATAAATTATATTTATATTATGTTGTTTTTTGTCCTTCCCTTTTCTGCCAGATTGTTTTGAGCGGCTTAAATGAAGAGTGTTTTCCCGCCGAAGCTCAACGGCTAAAAGCCTGATATTAATCGCTTACCCACAACATCTCTCCTCAGGGTGTTTTCGACGGGATCCTTAATATTGGGTTTTCTTCTTCCCAACTCTCCGATTCACGTCCCAATTCCTCTCTTGGTGTGTGAGTGTTTTTCTCTCCGTACAGGAGAGGTCTCCACCACCCTTTGGAGTGGTTTCTTTTTCATCTAGGGCTTGATGGCGGCAAAGGGTTTAAGCGGTTCCTCTCTCCAAAGACCACTATGCGAAACAGGGTGGATTCTTGGCGGAGGAGACGAGGGAAATCGAAGGGGGTCTCGACTGAATGAGAACCAGAAGGGTGCGGCGCTGGTGATGGGCGGCGATTGGAAACTGGCCCTGATTCATGCGAAGGGAGGCGATGGTAAGATTCCCTGTTTCAAGCTGCCTTATTATCCTTTTCTCATTTCCATTGGATATGAAATTAATTGTACTCTAATATGTAGATACGCATATCAGCAAATCGTAGGTACAAATTTATATATATATATATATATATATATGTTGAGCGTGTAAGCTTATGGTACAATTAGCTCTTACAGATGTCGTTTCGGATAATAGTTTCGCGAGAGCTTGATCTACCTGCTTTTGATACATTTACGGAATGATGCGACCTGTCTTGGCTGCTTGGTGGGGATTTAAGATAGTAATTTGGTAGTCGCGTTTTATTTCTAAATGCATTTAAATCTTCCATTTAATATATCAGAAAACAGATTATAACAGGAAAATTGGGTGTTATGGTGATTAGGACAGTGTAAAACTTTCAGTAATCTAAACCACATCTTGCTTTTTGGTTGAAAATTTGGTATTGTATTGCTTCTTGTGTTAGTTCATGTTAGAAACAAAAATAGATGTTTAAACAAATGCCTTCTGTGATATAAAAATTTCCTTCTTAATTTGATTTTAAAACCATAGGTATTTGCTAACAACAAACATAGTTGTTTAAACAGAACTTCATAGGTTAGGATGGGCTTTCTTTACTTCTGAATTCTGACTATGGCTTTCACGATGATTATGCAGTTTTAATTTTCTGACTATGGTTGATAGTTAATTTTCTTATGTTGTTGTTGTTGTTATTATTATTATTATTATTTTTGCTCAAAAATCAAATGCTAATATAATATCAATTCGGTTGATGTGCAAATCACTGTAGTGTAGCACCCAGTTGAGTTCTTGACTTCTTAAAGCAGTCTCTAGTCATGAATTCATAACAGCCTAAACATAATTTCTTATCAATTCACTGGTAGCATTGTTCAATTATTTACCTGCTTTTTGGTCTTTGCTGGTGCGTTCTGCTGCTTTGGACACTTTGCTACTAGAGCAAGTTTCCTTCATTTAATGTAAGGGAATTTGGTCAGTCATTAGTTTTTACATGTTCTGGTTACTTTCTGTTAATCCAACAATTTGACTCTGTTCTGTAATCT